CTAAAAAGTTTATTTTTGTTTATTTAAATTTTTGGTACCACTTGCAAAACGTGAAGCTCCTTGTGGTGCTCTTGTTTCTAATAAATTCTTCCCCTTGAGTGCATCTTAAATTCTGATTATGCTACGAAAATCGTATAATTTTAATAATATGTAGTGTAATTGTAATTTACATTCATGATGTGTTATTAATTAATATTATTGATCAATAATATTAATAAAAAAGTTATAACTTTTTTTATTCAAAAACTCATTTATAATATTTTATATATGCATCTATAATTTATTGACATATTATGATCTTGTAAATTTTATAATGTTATATGATATTAACTATATTGTTATGGATAATATTTAGTTGAGTAAGCAATAAAAGATTACTAAAGTAATAGTATTTTTATAGTTTTTTTCTATTTTTTCGTGGTACATTAATTTAATATATATATATATATATGTGTGTGTGTGTTTTTCCTCAATGTAGGGATTCATGCCGCAACCCTCACTGTCAAGAACAATTGTCCAAACACCATCTGGCCAGCAACCTTAACCGGTGGTGGTGCAGCACAATTATCAAACACTGGCTTCGAGTTAGCCTCTCAAGCATCCTCCTCCCTTGACGTCCCCGCTCCGTGGACGGGTCGGATCTGGGCTAGAACACAATGCTCATCTGACTCTTCAGGGAGATTTACCTGTGCTACAGCTGATTGTGGCTCCGGCCAAGTTGCTTGCAACGGCGCAGGAGGAGCCCCACCTGCATCCCTCGCAGAATTCACACTAGCATCAAACGGTGGGCAAGATTTTTTCGACGTCAGCCTCGTGGATGGCTTTAATTTGCCTGTCTCAATAACTCCACAAGGCGGCTCTGGTTCTACATGCACCACCACCAGCTGTGCGGCTAACGTGAATGCCGTATGTCCATCTGAGCTGGCTCTTAAAGGTTTTGATGGGAGCATCATCGGTTGCAAGAGTGCTTGTGTGGTCTTCAATCAGCCGCAGTACTGTTGCACCGGTGAATATAACTCACCAGCCACTTGCAAGCCGACAAACTATTCGATGATTTTTAAGAACCAGTGTCCTCAGGCTTATAGCTACGCTTATGATGATCAATCAAGCACCTTCTCATGCACTGGTGGACCTAATTACCTTATTACTTTCTGCCCATGAGAGTTATATATAATACAGAGAGCAAAATTTAATGATATTATAGCTAATTAAAATAAATAAGATTGACTCATTTTGGTGTGACAAGAAATCAATTAAGTTGTGTTTGAGCATATGTATTTATATTTGAAGTATGTATTTTAAATACATATATTCAAAATACATGTATTTTAAATATATTTATTTTGAAATTCAATATTTGAATACATTAAATATCATAAAATTGTAATTGAATTTCACCTAAATAAATGTCATTTTGGCGTTTCGACAGACACTTGATGGGCCATATATCAACACTCTCTGCGGTACTTATCTAATCATTCTTCTCTTTTGCTTATTTATCTTTGAGGCATTTTAACAAACATTTGTTAGGGATTTCAATTTACTCTTTCAAGACAATAAACCTGGGGATTTCATTGCCCTTATCCTTTATATACAAACTCCTTGCCTTTTACTCTCATTCCCAGCGCATGAACTCCTCTCCCTATTTGAATTGCTTGTTCGCCACCAACATCGCTCTCTCGAAGCCAATAAACCCACAATATGATCACCTCCACTCCCCTTTGCACCTTTTCCCATTTCCACCCAACTCCATTTTTCTCACCCCATGTTACGAGATCAATGATATGGGTAAAAAAAAAATTTGAAAAGACAAATCTTACCTCAATCCATAATCAGCAACCAGCCACAAACTTAAGAATATACTTCCCAAAGCCAAATTCTATCCTCTTAAAAATTCCTCATCCGATGCTACTAACATTGATTAGAGAAGATATTGCTAAAATAGGGAGAGAGACCTCAATCGGAGTTTACCTGATAGCAAATGACAGGCTTGCTTGGAAACTTTAGCGATCTTAAATGAAATACAAGGTAGTGTACTTAAATTTGGGACTCCAAATTTAGACACACTCTCTTCAAATTTACATTTCCAAACAGACCGTAATGAAAATGATTGTGAATAAATAATAGTTTTATGGTAAAGTTCTATATCATAGGTTTATGTGAAAATATCATTCACACTATTTTAGAACATTTACATTTTAATTGATTATATACATTTAAACTTAAAAATATTTTATTGTTCTAACTTTTATATAGATCCTCTAAAAATACTATGAAGACAACAAAGCAATACTATTTTTATATTTTTCACCTGCTTAATTTCTCCCCCTTTCAATTTTTAATTTTTGATTTTCCGTTACATAATATGGGTGAAAACTTCTTTTATTCTTTTTGGCACCATCGGTATGTGTTGTTTATAAAAGCTTCAAAACACCATCTTTCCCTTCAATTTTTTTTTATATCTCACACATTAGAGAACCAAAATAATGAGTAATACTTAAATTATCAAGTTATTAAAACATAAAATATATAAGAAATAAAAAAATGATTGAAAGATAATTTTTTTTATACAACCATATATGTTATTTATTAATGAGCTTTTTTCATTCTATTAAAACTTATAATATTGCACTCATCTATATTTAATCATAAATAAAGGTTGTATAAAAAAATTGTGCAAAAAAAGTCCACATATTATTGACCCTCAAAAAATATAAACGAGAAATCATGACAAAACATGAGCTGAGGTATATATGCGAAAAATCGTCCTTTTTAAGGCAATTCACACCTCTACAAAAGTTTAAGCTTTTGATATGGTGTAAATTCAACAAATTAATAGAAAATAAGGGTTAATGTCAACTATCATCTCTCTACTATAAAAAAAAGTTCAATTTAAACCTTCTACTTCCAATTCACCTCATATCCTCCCTCTACTATTAATTAACTACAAGTGTCCTCCCCTACCATTGAAAAAGATATCAATTCATCCTCCGTACAAGTTCCGTCCAATTTTGAGGAAACGGATAGTTTACTTGACTGTTAACGTTAACTCATCAAAGATCCAACCCCCCTTTGTTTATTTTTATAGTTGGACTTTAGTGGGACCCACAACAATTAAATATTAATAAGTTATTTCAATTTAAAAAAAAAAAGGTTAAATCCCTTTTTTGGTCCTTCAACTATTATACGAACCCTTGATTTAGTCCCTAAACTGAAAAATCCTTGACCTGATCCTTATTGTTTATCAATTTTACTCCAACTTAATCCTTCCATTAAAAATCATGTGAGGTGTCATGTTAATTAATCGCAAATAATGACATGGCAAAGTATTAAATACAACATACATGAAATGGACAAAAATAATGATATAGTAAAAAAAATATTGATATGACAAAAAAAAATTCTTAAAATTTTTTTTCCTTCTTTTTCCCTTTCTCTTTTCCCTTGGGGTTGTGGACTCTTTTGAACTCAGCGTTCGAACCCAGCACGCCTGGATTGTAGCTTAGAACCTAGCGGCCGTTGGGTTTGAACCCAACATGTCTGGGTTCTAGTCGCTGGGTTCAAACCCATAGGTTTTAGCCGTTGAAACCCAGCTGTGTTGGGTTCGTGAACGCGTGGGTTTCATCGACCGCTCGGTTCGAACCCAGCACGCCTGGGTTCTAGTAATTGGAACCCACACGTTTGAACCCAACGGCTGCCGCATTCGAACGCATGGACGCGTGGGTTCCAACCACTGAAACCTAGTAGTCATTGGGTTTAAACCCAACATCCGTGGGTTCCAGCCGCTACGTTCAAACCAGTGGGTTTCACCCGTTGGAACCCAAGCGTGCTACGTTTGTGAATGCATGGGTTTCAATGACTGCTCGATTTGAACCCAGCACACCTGGGTTCTAGCGGCTAGAGCCCACGCATTCAAATCCAGCAACCGGTACTCGTGGGTTTCAATCGTTGGAACCCAAGCGTGCTGCGTTTGTAATGCGTGGGTTTCAACAACTGCTCGGCTTGAACCTAGCACGCTTGGGTTCTAGCGGCTAGAACCCAAGCATTCAAATCCAGCAATCGCTACGTTCAAATGTGTGGACGCATGGGTTCCAGCCACTAAAACCCAACAACCGTTAGGTTTGAACCCAACGACCATTGGGTTTGAACCCAACACACCTGGGTTCCAGCTATTGGAAACCAACGGCCATTGGGTTTAAACGTGTGGGTTCTAGTTGTTGGAACCCAGCACGCTTGGGTTCGAGCGGTTGGAACCTAACGATCGCTGGGTTTTAACGCAACAAATTTTTTTATTTGTG